AAAAAAAAAAAAAAAAAAAACAGTGAAGCCTATGCACTATTTCTTGATTGAAATCATATAACTTCATAACTATTACCTTAGTTAATTAACTATAGGCCAATCCCGCACTAAGAATCGTCTGTTTTTTTTTTAATCCTTATCGGTTCGGTTAGGTGTTACCGAACCCTTATAGTATGTGTGTCCCTATTAATGAAATATAATGTTCTTTGATAATAGTATATGTGTCTCTATTAATGAATAATGTTCTTTGGTAAAGGTCAGTATGTGTGTCCCTATTAATGAAATATAATGTTCTTTGATAATAGTATATGTGTCCTCTATTAATGAAAACGTAATGTTATTTGTTACCAGGCAAAGCTTCTGTCCCTAAGAGAAAACGTGGTCAAAAAATGGGTAAGGGACTTATGAAAGCATTTGATGCCTCTGGAAAGAAATTGAAGATAGATGTGGATCCACTTACAGGACGACCCAAAAGTCGAGAGCAATCTGCAAAGCTCTCAAGTCAAATTGGTGTAGTAGTTCGAGATGTCCTTCGAGTGCCAAGAAAATGGAAAGAAATGGCTGAAGAAAAATTTTTGGAACCAGACATTGATCATATAAAGGTAACTGTAAAATAAGAATAAAAATGACATGTTTTGTTTTTCTTGTATAGGTAAAAATATGTTAAATGTGATGTTCAGATTCATATGGATGTCAACTTGGATGCACCGGGTGTGAGGCACTGCTTCGTTGATAGGATGAAATCTAGTTCTCGACAAATTCGTTACAGGTTACATAAGCATTACAAGAAGTATGCAACCCTACAAGAGGCTAAGAATAATAAGCCACCATTTTGTGCTAGTAAAGAAAATTGGGACGAACTCTGCGATTATTTTGCATCAGCTAAGTTCAAGGTAATATCTCTTCAGATTTGTACTCTTATTGTTATATTTTGGAAATATATCTTATGTTTTAATTTCTTGTTTTCAGCACCAAAGTGTAATTAACTCTATGAATCGACAAATGTTAAGGACCCCACATATATCTGGCAGAACTCCTTTTTCTACACTTCAACATGAAATTGTGAGTTCCAAACATGCAATTATGTTTCAAAATATTTGCATATTACGCCATGGAGAAATAATCATAATATTTTAATAGGTTCGTATCCTGTACATTTTAATTTTTTTTATTCTTGACTAGGCTCAGAAGAATGCTAATGGAGATACTAATGGAGATGTTAATGGAGATGCTGGGGACATAATTGAGTTCTATAAACTCACACATTGCACTGACAAACATGGTTGGTCAAATAATGAGGCAAAAGAATATTGGGTAATTCACACTTTCATATTGGTATTGGTATTGTTATTTTTTAGATAGGCATGATATATATTTTTCGTGATAGGACAAAAACAATCATGCATTATACACATGTAAAATTATTTTAAATATTTTTCCTTACGTAAAAATATATATATTCTATTAATAAAAATATTTGTTTTTTCATAACTTAACTTATAAAAAAACTATTCCAAATAATAATATTTAAGTTCACCTTGTTATCATCCAACTCGGTAACCTGAAGTTAGCAACCCTTAAACCGCGTGTTAAAGTGAAATATCGCCAACAATAACAAGGCTACCGGTTATCCTGGTCCATCCACCGAACCGGCCAAGCCACAGAAACCCAAGGTAATCTTCGCGACCGAGGTCATCCCAAAACTGGAGTCACTATAAACCGAGGTCGCCACCTCCAAAACAGGTGACAAGGCGCTTACACGCCATTCTCACAAACTACGAGGTCTGCTATCTTTCAAGTGGGACCCATTACTCCTGCCGCCCACCAAAAAGTAGCTTTATGGAAAAAGCAATGCACGAATCCCGAAATGTGTCTTAGAAAGTTACTATAAATAATAGACTTGTGATACTTGTATGGGATTCGATCCCTGAACTTCTTACAATGCAACACGAAACAGCTCATAGAAGCTTTTCACCTCGATTCACCTCGGACCGGGGCCATTGTTGAGTATTTCATACATGTTTTACGTTCAAATCATTATTAATAATAAACAAAACTCCCCCTATATCGTTGTTAATAATCGCATAACAACAGTTTGGCGCTAGAAGGAGGGCCTTCATAAGTAATTTGAGGTTAATCTCCGATTCTTGTTCCGTTCTTTATATCGATGGCAGCCATGTCGCATTCGGATCATCGTGGTCATACATCGCGAGATGGCCACAGTCGCAGTGCCGCTCAGTCTTCCAGACGCCAAACAGCAGCTCCCAATATCCCAAACTATACTGCTCTATTCTAGAATCCAGAGTTTGCACATGGGTTCGCTGCTTTGATGGCTCAAACAATCCCTGGAACATCAACGACTGTTCCAGGACAATCCATAATACCAACAACTACTGCTAATCCGCAGATCCCACCGGTGCGACAAGATGGTGGCAGAACCACTTCTCACGCCACGTCCCAACCTCGCAGTCGAACGTCGCAGCTGCACCCAGAACAAACTACACGTCATGTTGACGTTGGGCGTAATCCCCTTGTAATTCCTCGTGAAGAAACCGCCGAGAGTCAATCTGGACATTCACGGCGTTCACCACCTCATACGCGACACTGAATCCCCTCTAACCCGGTGAAAACCGACCTTCGTCAGCATATTGAGAGAAATCGAGCTCGCCAAGGATCATCCCAACTTGAAACATTGCGACGAAGAATCGCCGAGTTGGAAAGTCGGCAAAGGATGCCCGAAGACCCCCCACGACGGACCTCGACTTCGGCACAAGTATACCTGGAAGCCGACTCCCCTCCCCACACATAGTAGTGGGAAATATATAGGTTTAGTTCATATATAACTAATCAATATCTAATATCACATATACATGCCATTCTTCCATGACAACCCTAAGTTTGTTGAAAAACGAATCTCTTGCGTAAGTTTCATTGGCTCACACCAGAACTCACTTCGGAACCTGTACCCAGAAAAGTTAAAGTTCCTCAAATTGGATTATACGATGGGACTTCTGACCCTGACTACACCTCGGTCACTACACTTCGTGGATGGATCTGCATGGGGCCTCAGACGCACTTCGGTGTCGCATGTTTTCCCTTACGCTGGGACCTCGGGCTCAAAAGTGGTACCACTCTCTTCCCCCTCATTCTATTTGGAAGTGGCAACAGTTGAGGTCGGCTTTCCAATCTCACTTTATCGGGGCCCAAGTGTGTTTGATTCCAAAAGAATCCCTTGCAAATGTAACTCAAAAGATGATGAAAGCATCAAGGACTATATTGCCCGATTCAATGACCGAGTTCAGAATATAGAGCCATGTCATCCTGAAACCCTGCTTGTCATGGCTATCGCCTGGTTGAAACCAAACTCGATTTTCCGTTGGACATTATGCAAGAATAAGCCGAACACCTTCCAAGAATTTCTTGCCCGAGCTCAACAGCATATCATTGCCGAAAAAGCTATGTCGGTTCCCGATTTCAATTATAATCCGAAGTCATCCAAGTCGGGAACCGACGAGAAAAAGAAAAACAAATTTTTCGATAAACAAAACAAAGCTCAATTTAAAGGATATCCTCGAGGAGACGCCAACGACCCTGAAATTAGAGCAGCTCGGAAACAATATGCTACCGATGTGAAATCTGGTTATCAAACCGTCTATTCAGTCGGAGCTACAACCATTTATGAAGAAATCAAAGGGAAAGGCATTCTGCCCGATCCCAAACCACTTCGGATGCCCGAGGAAAAATTGGATAAATCTCGGTATTGTGACTATCACAAATCACCGGGGCACAACACTGATGAATGTTTGACTCTGTTGGCCGCCCTGTTGTGTTTAATCGGTCATCCACAGCTCAGGAAATTCAATCGCAATACTAATCCTCAGAAACAGGGGCCGGAACGCCAAATTGAACCTTATGATGAGGATGAAGATGAAGACCGAGGTGCTATCCCGAAGCGCATCTGACCAGGAGACAAAGAAGTGTTCATGTTCACCTCAGAAACACTCAACGCTGAAATAACTGGAAACTCACGAGGACGTAGACGAAGTCGATCTCCTAGTCCGATGCAGATTACCGTTCATCGGGTAAATACAAATAATTCTCAAAGTACTTCATCTCGTCGGCAAATCAAAGCTTACGCCCGGCAAGCTTACAATTCCGGCAAACAAGTGTATACCACCGATCTAAGAGACATACTCAATAACTGAAACTGTCCCATAACTTTCAATATAGAGGATGCAAATCATTTTGCACACCCTCACTCTGATGCACTTGTTATTACCGTCCCTATATGTGGAATTCCAGTACATCGCGTAATGGTCGACACCGGGGCCTACTCAAGCATTTTGATGCTAAAAGCCTTTGACAAAATGGGTCTTGATCCCGCCGACATCCGACCTTGCAACGACCAAATACAAGGGTTTAATGGGAGCATTTCACGACCCATAGGCGAGATTACTTTACCTGTCCGGTTTGGTACAGCTGAACACGTTACCAAGCTTGTTATGCAGACTTTTAAAGTTCTTGACATCAACAACGAGTCCAATGCGATCATCGGAAGAACCGCTCTGTACAAACTCCGAGCTGCAGTTTCCATCTTTCACTATGCCCTTAAATTCCCAACGACACGCGGCGAAGGAACACATTACGGAGATCAACGAGAAGCTCGAGAACTTATCACTTTCATACCGTTCGCCGGAGTCCACTCCACCACTTCGGTCACCGAAGGGAATTCCTTGCCATCAGCCACTTCGGGCGATACACCTTATGAGGAACCTAGTCGAGAAATCTCTACTCCTTTAACCTCGGATCCTCTGGCCGAAGACCAAGGCCGAAGACCCGAAAAAGACCCAATCCTTGAAGAAGACGAATTGGACCCAAGAGCTCAGTTCAAAGAAAAAAGAAAAAGTGATCGAGCTGAACCCGGAGAAGACGTGGAGATAATTTATGTTGACGAGCCGACACGTCAGAAGTCGCTGCGTATTGGGAGTCGTTTACAAGAACCTCTCCGATCTGAACTCATTTCATTCCTTAGAAATAATTTTGATGTTTTTGCTTGGAAACACGAAGATATGAAAGGCATCGACCCCGGTGTCGCTAGCCACAAGTTGAACCTTGATCGAACTGTCCGACCAATCATTCAAAAAAGAAGAAAATTGGAGCCAGATCGTCAGAAAGCGTTGGAAGAGGAAGTCAAGAAACTCATCGACAACAAATTCATTAAAGAAGCCCAGTATCCAACGTGGGTCTCAAACCCCGTCCTCGTCAAGAAAAGCAATAGCCTGTGGAGGTTATGTATCGACTTTTCCGACTTCAACAAGGCGTGCCCGAAAGACAGTTACCTGCTCCCGCACATAGATTATATGGTTGATGCCACATCAGGACACGAGTTGATGAGCTTTATGGATGTCTACTCTGGTTATAACCAAATTCCTATGGACCCTGATGATTCGGAACACACCTCGTTTTATTCGGCACGGGGCTTGTATTGTTATACCATGATGCCATTTCTATTAAAAAACGCTGGGGCCACTTATCAACATCTTTTCAACAAAATGTTTGCTAATTTGGTAGGTCATACCATGGATGTCTATGTAGACGACATGCTCGTCAAATCGGTATACGCTTCTGATCATATAACACATCTTTAGGACATGTTCAATATCCTCCGATCTTATTCTATGGTTTTAAATCCCAAGAAGTGCACCTTCGGAGTTGAGTCTGGAAAATTTCTAGGCTATATGGTCAGCCAACGTGGAATCGAAGTCAACCCGGCCAAGATAAAAGCTATTCAAGATCTAACTCCTCCGACCTCGATCAAGGGTGTTCAAGCCCTGACTGGCCGACTTGCAGCTCTTAATCGGTTCATCTCAAGTCTACAGACCATTGCAAACCGTTTTTTGAAGCGATCAAAAAAGGAAAGCGTTTTGAGTGGACCGAAGAGTGTCAAAAAGCACTTACCAGCATTAAAGAAACTCTTGCTTCCCCTCCAACGTTACAGAAACCGAAACCCGAGGAAATGCTGTTCTTATACCTCGGAGTTAGTGATTCAGCGATTAGCGCCGTCTTGATACGTGAAGAAGGGATGATACAGTCACCCATTTATTACGTCAGCAAGGCCCTACATGATGCCGAACTACGCTATCCTCCTATGGAGAAGTTGGCGTTCGCACTTGTTATGGCCGCTCGGAAATTGCGACCTTATTTTCAAGAACATTCCATAACTATCCGCACTTTATATCAACTGCGACAAGTCCTGCACCGACCTGACACTTCGGGACGCATGATAAAATGGGCAATTGAAATCGGACAATTCGACAGTCATTACCAACCGAGGACCGCGATCAAGGCACAAGCCCTATCCGACTTCATCGCCGAATTTACCCCGGCTAAAGAATATCATGATGACAACCAACCGTGGGTCCTTTACATTGACGGTTCTTCAAAAGCAAACCGAGCAGGTGCGGGAATAGTCCTGGCGAATCCGGAAAATTGATTATTCTGTCATTCGGTGAAATTTCTCTTCCCTACAACCAACAATGAAGCCGAATATGAAGCTTTACTATCCGGATTGAGTTTGGCTGAATCCATGAACGTAAAACACCTCAAAGTTTTTTCAGACACCCAACTCCTTATCAACCGAATCAATGGTTCGTATGAAGTCAAAGAACCTCGGTTGACACCATATTTCTCCTTAGTGAAACGAAAATTATCAAAATTCTCCGTTGATGTTGAACACATCCTCCGAACTCTTAACGTTCAAGCGGACACCTTATCCCGACTAGCTTCTAGTATTGGGATGGAAAGCATGGAGTACGTCCAGGTCGGACAACAAGAACAACCGTTGATCCTTCTCTCTGAAGTCACAACCATTGATCCGGTAACGTCACAAAAACCACCAACATGGATGGATCCCATTATTCAATACTTGGAAACTGGGACTTTGCCTTCGGACCCAAAAGACGCCCGGGCACTTCGGATCCGAGCAGCTCGGTACACACTGGACAACAAGATTTTGTTCAAAAGAGGATACTCTGTACCACTTTTAAAATGCCTAACTGAAGCTGAATCGCGATATGTCCTTGAAGAAGTAAATGAAGGAATTTGCGGTAGTCACCCCGGTGCGCAGGCCTTATCTTATAAGATTTTGCGACAAGGTTATTATTGGCCGACCTTAAAAAGCGACGCCGCCTCGTGGGTTCGCAAATGTCCGAAATGCCAATTATTTGTGTAATATCCCGTCAGTTTATCAATATAAATCATGTTTTTAGTTCCGAAATAATAATATTTTCGAGTATTATTTTTGGAATTAATTATTTTCAGTCGAAATTACCGGAAATTATTTTCGACGTTTCGTTTACGTTCAGAATAATTTTGGTAATTAAGTATTATGCTTAAAAGTTAATTAAGCATAATTAAAGTGATTAATTAAATATTAATCACACTTTAAGTCCTTATAGCCGTACCATTTTCTCCATTATCTTTCATTTTGCCGTGAGCAAAAGATTAGTGGGAAAGTTAGTGGATTTGTCCTCTTTTTCTTAATTAAGCTAGTAAGAGGTGTCATCCATGTGTGATACTTAGTGATGACTAAGTTCACTTAGTGATGAGTTAGCCTTAGATTAGCTCTAATGAGGACAAGTGTTTAACTCTTAACGCACCTCACCATTTTCCACCTCTTCGGCCACCCTATTTATATGCGTGTGTTTGGGGAATTTTTCCTCAACTTTCAGCCATATATACTCCTTAATATATTCAGCATAGAGAGGGTGGTGAGAGTGTGAGAATTTTCTTTTCCCCAAATAGTACCTACCGCACGGCAATCAGTTGCACGCGCACGCCCGAGCTATCGCAAGTTAGGACTACACACGGTCACGGCGAGTATTTCACGTGTTTAACTCGACAAGGGAGCAGCTGAAGAGGTATATTGCTGAATATCTCTTGGTTGTATATGTATTAGTGTCATGCAAATCAATTTTCATGTTGGCCGTGAGTCATGTTCGCCGTGTGTAGTTGGTGTCGAGGCATGTTATGTTTTAAGTCGGATTCTCCGAACAACCTTCGCATGTTTAATCATTTTATGTGAAATCATGACCAGTCAGTTTAGATTACTCAGAGAATGTTCATGTTTTGACTCGATAGTTAGGCCGTGGGATGTGGTCGCGCATCTAGCGCACCACGGGCCGTACGCATGTGTTAGTTATGTCAAGTTCAAATCCTTCGAGTATATCATGTTATTTTATTTAGTAATCATTGATCATGTTCAGTTAAGTATGATTTGCCGAGAGAAAAAGAGGTCCGGTCGTAAAACGGCTTAACGCCGTCGGCGGCGCACGGTGCGTCTGCCGCGGCCAAGTTCAGTCCATTGAGCAAAAAATCATGTTTTCAGTTTAAATCAGTTTTTATGTTCATGTTATGCCATTTGAAGTAAGATTGTTCATGAGTTGTTATCGGACGGCCGGCAAGAGCCGGCCGTGGCCGCGCTGTCCGCACGCAGCGGTAACAGCG